GACGCATTTTTACTGTTTTTAGTGGAAAAATACTTTTTAGTATATTAATTCCATCTTGTGATGGGTAGGACAACAGCATGGGCTTTTTTGAGGAAAGAATTGCCATCTTTGGGGTGTTAAAATGAAGGGGTGAGGAACTAGGTTTGTTGCAGATTTTTACCACAGTTCTGCAATTCCCTGACTGAAAATTGAAGTTTATAACTAAATCTCTGCCCTGTTTCTAACGGGAATGAAGCCGTTCTGAGGCTGGTACTCCAGCTGCCATGTAGGTGTTGCCGACTGGCAGGGAATACTGGGAAGAAAATGCAACTCTGTGTAAGCTTGCTAGTGTTCCTCACACAGAGACCTGCAGACCTTGGGCTGTGGCTGCCTCTTCCTTTGGGAGAAAGAATCATCTGGAATTATTCCTGCTGGAGTAACTTGAGCTGACCAGAGGTGAGGCTTTCTTAAGCCCCAGAGTTTCTCTAGAGAGAAGATAAAAGACGTGCATTGCTTAAAAGTGGCTGGTGGCTCTCAGAAGGCTTTGGCTGGACTTCACATCTGCCTGGTTATGAACCTGCCTCACCCCACATAGGTTGAATTTTTTCAATTAACACTTTGGTTTTGTTTTTATCCTAAAGGTGAGATAAATGTAAGACCTTCTCTTGTAGTGACCCTTTCGGTCTCGGCTGAAGGGCTAAATTGTGCCCCAAGCTCTGAGCTATTCAATCCTCAGGTGAGATGTACAGAGCTCTGCAGACTTGAGTTTGCAAGAGAAAGCAGAGAGCTGAGTGAGGATTGGAGTCCTTCCAGTTCCATCAGAGTTTTGCCTGGCTAAGGACGTAGACATTTGGCTACAAATGAATTCAGTTTAGTTTTCACCCTGAGAATGCTGCAAACTCCCCAGAAAGATAGATTTATTTTTTTTTCCTCACTAACACAATCACAAAATAATACAAACTTCTCCTCACAAAGTGTTGATTGTTCTATAATGAAATCGTAAGTAATTTTGTAGTCGCTTTGGGGAAAAAGCAAAAACTGTTCTTAGCACCTGCTGTATGATATCACAAAGCTACTGCTCATAATGATTCTAATATGTGAAGGCAGTTGCATAATATCATCATATTACAGTTTGTGTAAGAAAAAAATCGCGGACAAGACATTGCCAGTAGAAACTCTTCACGAATGCTATTTTTTTCCTCATTGCTGTTCCTCTGTCTCAAAATATCTTTGCATTTTCCTTGTCAGAGTCTGTAGGTTTCATTGGTGGAAATAACAGCCAGCGAAATAATGAAGAGGGAAGGAAAAAAAAAATCATGATGTTGAAAAAAAATGCATTTTTCTATAGAAGCTAATGTTCTATAAAGAGATGCAAAAGGAAGAGAAAAAGATACTAGATAGCACAGCTGCATTGAATTGCAAGACAGCTGGAATTTTTCAATGTAACCAGATTTTAGATGAGTTTTCTTTTCATTTCCCTATAATAAGATCTTTGTAAACCACAGTCCTAAACAAAATCTTCTTGGTGATGATGAAAATAGGGAAGAGCAGTGCTGCTTGTGCTGTGTGTGTGACAGACAAAATATGAGGCCAGATCCGTAGCAGCTATAAACCTGTGTCAGCAGAGCTGTGCCATTTCTATTGGCTGCAGAGCTGCCTTGTTGCAGACACTGAGGTATAAGGATTGCGGCATATGAAGGGATATTGTGTAGTGGTCAGAATGCCCTGAGTGCCCTCAGCTGAATGGATAAGAATGAAAGAAATTTCAAGCAGAGCCTCTAATAAGACTTACAGCTGAATCAGAATTTGCCCTGGAAAATCCTGGGCAGCACATACCACAGCAGCTACTCCAGCCTTGGAAGAAATCCAAGATGCCTCTGCCTCACGTCCAGACTCTCAGTCTGACCTCTCAGAGTGATAAATAGTGAGTTCACATTTCACCCTGATCCTTCCTGAACCTGCCCCTTGCCGAGGGCTCGGCGTAGGAGGGGTCAGGGCCCTCGTGGGCATGCAAAGGTGTGATAAAAGGAGAGAAGTTCTTGTGCACTCTCTCCCTCGCTCCCTTCCTCATTACATTCATACAGGTCAGCGTAGTCTGACTCTTCAGCAGACAGAAGAGCAAGAGGCATTTCCAAGCTATAGTTTCTGTTCTGCCACCTGCCTGCCATGTGGTCTTCAGCAAGTTACCTAATCCCTCTGCCGCTTTACTGATCTGTGAAACACAGTATAAGTGCAACCTTACAGAAAAAAAAAGTACAAGTCCTCTTCCTGTTAAATATCTCATTGCGAAGCCAGTGTATTCAAATATTTTGGATACCTTAGTACACAGAACTTGCCAAAAATAAAACCTCATGAATATCTGGTTGAGGAGGCTTTTTAATGCACCTTAGCAGGATAGAAAGAACTACTGGCTGTCTGCAGTTGGAAAAGTAGTCTCTTGACATTTTGTGCTATATCCAAACAACATCTTCTTTTGAGCTAGAAATCAGTGCTGTATTCATTTTTCTGATGTGATTAAGTTCTTAAACTGGATCAGAACCAATGCTTTTTCTTGTGGCAGCAGGGGGGTGATTTAGTTAATGCTGGGATCGGGTGCCAAATCATGAGTTCCAACTTATTCCTATCAGCGGTCATCCATCACCAAACTTGGGGGAGTAAGGCAGAAATATAAGCACACTGACAATTTGCCAGAATGATTTAAGACCTGGCATTTAAGAGTTCCTGTTGTAGTTGTTCTTTTGACATGTCTCCTAATTTGCTCCCATCTTGAAGACACTCACTACTTTAAGACTTAAACAATCTTCATCTGGGAATGGAACTCAGCAGCAGGAACAGGGGGGCCTTATCCAAGGGTAAGGTTGCACAAGGGCAGACAAGCCTACTTACTTTTGGGTCATCAGCAAACATAAATGTGCCTGTAGTAATGCTGCGTACACTGCTCTATTGGCTGTGCTTCTCATGTGGGTAGAGAAGCCAAAAAGCAATATGCATTATTGATCAGAACGTGCAGGCGGATGAAGATGGACAAGGGTAGGTCAGAACTTTATTAACTCCGTGTAGCCAGCACTTGCACGGATCCAGAGCTGAGTTATCCTGTCTGGATAGCCTGGATCACAAAGAATAGTGATCCTCAGATCCACCCACTCCTCCGAATCCTTCACCACGGGTTGTGGACGTGGTACCAGAAAGAGACAGTGCGTACAAAGAGATCAAGACTTCCTTGCTGGCACAGATGCCAGCAGCAGTATCCAGGGCTGCCTTTGTTGCGGGAGCCAGTCTTTCCTTCAGCAGCAAGAGCCATGACTGAGCTGAAGTATTGGGAGAAGAGATGTACAGTTGTCTCTCATGAACACAGCGATAGATTAGCTGCCAGCTCTCACTTACCTTTCCCACACACAGAGAAAAGCAGAAGAACCTGCTGGTAACTCACACTGTCCCATTACCATTTTTGGCTGCTGTCTCTACTTGTGTCCTAAACACCCTTTTTGTACGCTCCTGTGACAATCATTCACCATAGTAACAAGAAAGTCAAGAAACACAAAAGCTTCGGAAAAACCTGAACACAACCAAGATGGAGCAAGTGCCGTTTAAGCAGAGTGCACTGTACCACAGTGAAGTCACGTATCTTCTCTCAGCGTAGTGCTAGATTGGCTGAATAACCCAGTCTGTGAATCCTCTCGCTAGTACTTAATTGCCTCTGAATAGATTGCAGCTTTTTGAGATTCATTTGCTCTTCACAGTGAATCACTGAAATATTTTCATGGTCACAAATGTTCATAGCAAAACTGTTCAGAGAAGTATTTGATAGTCAGAAATCCAAGCGGTATTTTTGTTTTTTCATTCTGACCAGATCCACTGATTGCACGTTGGAAAGGGTTTTCTCTTCTGTTGTATGGTATTGCTCTCTCTCACCACAGAATTGTCATTAGACTGTGCTGTTCTTAAGGCTTTTATATTAAGACTGGTATCGTTAGCAACATCCTTGAAGAGTTGCAAAGAAAACCAAACATGGATATATGGTTAGAATGCAATAGTACTTAAAATAGATAAATTTACATCTTGAACTGAAATTTCAACATACTTACATGTAATGGATATGTACATGTCTGTGTACATGAAGACTGGCTTTTCACTTTTCCAGAGTTATTCACTATTTCTCCCACTATATATTTTTTCTTTTCTAATTAGGTGAACAAGACAATAGGATTCAATTTCTTGAGTGAGAATACATATGATATGGCAACTGCTTTACCATTAATACCCTCCTGCATTTGCTCAGAATTGGGTTGAGCTGTTTTTTCAGGTGGTCACTGTTAACTATGTTCAATACAGTAGATGTAGAAAAATGGAATGGGAATGCTTTCATGGAAACTGTTGGGCTATATCTGCTCAGCTCTTCTCAGCGCTCAGGATTTGAAAATCTCTCCTAAATTTTGAGTCAGATTTTACACAGCATCATTGCTGCCAGGTAAACATGGAGCAGGATGTTCCACCGTGCAAAGATATCAGTTGAAGTACTGGATTCAGAGCCCATGTTTGCTTTTTCCAGATAGCACAAAATGCACAACTATATAGGAAAGAATGCACTCTACTTGGATATAAGGTAAAGGGGAATATATGGCGAAAGACCACAGCTTAACCTAATGTTAATGAGGGCCCAGTACCCTCTCTCCAAAGAGTGTTGATAATGACTTAGTAAAAGATAGTGACCTGTGTGTGTTGGTGAAGTGTTTTCTTCTGAGCCAGCCAGTAACCTTGTCCTAGGAAACATGAGTACATGGTACTGTTGTGAAGACCTACTCTTCCTTTTTGATACATCTTTAAGTGAAAGAAATGCTACTCAAATGCCCTTGAAAATCTTCAAGAACTGCTTTTGGAACTTTTTCTTTCTTGGGTTTGATTTTTCTTTAGTTCGTTCATTCTTTCATTCTGTATCTATCGATAGAGTTCTGTCTGTTGGTCCAAAAGGCTCAATATGACAGTAACAACAGACCAAGTCACTTTCAAAATGTCTCCTTTAATTTAAGCCATTCATTCCTAGGGATGTATCACAAACAAGAAAGCTATATTCCAAGCTCATTTGAAAGGGTGTTAAAACTAATGGAGAATTTGTTTGTATTTCTTTTTAAAGCAACTCCCTGAATATCACATTTTGTCAAAGCTAAGTGAAACATTGCAAGTGTCAAGTTTATGCCTGTGCCCAGTCAGGATGTCTGAGTGGGCTTCAGGGTCTCAGCTGCCAAAGACTGACACATACCCTTAACTTTTTGCACTCAGATCTTTCATTGACTTTAATGCAGACATCTTCATGGGATCAAGGCCGGTATTTGTGTGGATACATTAGCTCTCTCTTCTGCATCTCTGTTATACACAGCCAATTCTGCTTTTGTTGTAGTTATTTTTTTAATTGGCTACTAGGGAAGCAGAGGGAGACTCTGTTCATAAAGAATATGATATAAAATGGGTGAAAGAGGTGAGGGAAGAGCAAAATAAGAGAAAGGACACGTTTCATCTTGTGGTGGAGACTGAATCTATTTGCCTTATAGTCAGTGACAGGATGGTTCCACCGACACTCTCTTCTTTGAACAAAACTGACTTGCTCTGACCCTGTGCCAACAAACTCCTAATAACCATTGCTTCTCTTCCTTTACCTGTCTCCTCGCTTCTGATAGTTACATGTTATGTCCCATAAAAATACACAGAAACAAACAAAAAACAAAAGCAAAAGCTATTTCCATGCAGTAGATTTATCCCAGGATGTATCAGTGACAGCTCTGGAGTAGAAGTTTACAGCCAGTTTGAGGTGCTATCAGCATGCCAGGACTAAAAAGGGACCAAATGAGCTATGGTGCGAGGGAGAAGATGTCAGCCTAGACACAGCACACAATATGACTGGGATAAAGAAACAATGCAAAAACCAGCAGTGGCTAACAGATGAGGTATTAGGCCTAGCGGGGAGAAGACAAAGGCTTAAATCAAAAAGACATCCTGATGAGACTGGATGTAAGCTGAGCACACAAGGCTCCGACGAGGGATATGAGAGGTGGTTAGATGAAACACGGCAGGAATTCATCCATAGTGAGCAGTGCAGGAGTTGGAGCAACAGGACGGGAGAGGTGGATGCAAAGGGACTTTTCAGCACTGTCAAGGAAATTGGCCAAACACTCCCTCCCGGAGGCAGTGTCATCAGGGCAGCATATGGCAAAAGTTAAAAAAAAAAAGCAAGGAAACCTATGGAAAAAAAGAGACAAGAATATTTTAAGAATCTATAAGATAGTCCCAGAGCAAGGCAATCACAACACATACGTACTCAAAAAAATCTAGGTATTAGAAGTGGAGATTTTTTAACTGCTCCTTTTCCACAAGCTTTGTAACATAGATCTTCCTGTAGCAAACCAGAGAGGAAGCAAGAAATGAGCTCAGCTCTTACTGCTTAATTCTACCTGTGTAAAAGTTCCCCTCTGCGCCCGGTTGATGACTGTGGCCCAGTGCATCACTTAAGCTTTGGCCTGGGGTGAGGTTCATCCAGTGGGTGCACAGAGGTCTCGCAGTCACAGGTCAGTCTGGGAGCTGACTTCAGGGAAAAATCTGTTCTTCCATCCTCTTTATAATGTGGAGCAACTTCCATCCTCTTTGTAACAGTGGGAGCCCAGGTCACTGCAAAAAGTAGAGGAAAAAAAAGATTGACATAGAGAGAGTCTAATTTTTTTTATTACTAACCCTCTTCGAGTTCATTGAGAGTCATGAACTGAAATGGAAGGGTATACCTACATGCTATCATCTATTTGTAATTATTTGGAATATGGAAAAGCACTTGGGATTCATATATGGGCATAGGCTGGGTGGGTTAGTGGGAAATATGCTCCTGGTGGAAGGGCGACAGCATCTAAAACAAACAAGGCAAAAGCAATTATCTTAAATTCAGTATAAATATAGGGACCTGGGCAGCAGGTGTAGACACTTAGAATGAGAGTGACCAAGGGAAAGTCTTTCAAGAGCAAGTAAATTGCTTAGTAATTTAAGTTACTTTCTAAATCCAGGGCTTAGGAACAATCCTCCTAACTCATAGGGATGCTTTTGGAAGCTTTTGCTAAGTTACAGAAGGAGTCTGTGGACAATCTGGGATTTCAAGCCTAATCTTTGGAGCTGGTGTAGGCCATAAGCTCATCTCCCACATACATATTTTTGTAATTTCTTCTGATGGTGTGATGTGAAAAGATTTTTATATTTAAAATATTTATCCTATTAACATGATGCAAAATAGTCAATAATTTACATATATTTACATCTAATGTTAATTTATAGGCAGACAAATATAAATTTATCAGTGTGTGTGCATATGGCTGTAACATATGATTAATACACTGTCAGCATAATCTAACGGCTCAGAACCATCAGTTGTGCAAATAGTCCTTTCTAGCCATGTTTCCTCCTGCTATTTAACCTTCCTCCTTCCCTTCCTCCCCCTCTTTCACAGGCTGTCTAACCCACACTCGCTTCAGTAGCCTGCCTTAAAATAGCAGGCAAGGTCTGTGCAATGGTGACTCTTTTTTAGACATATTTCACAATGCCTAAAAAATTAGGGGATCTGTTCTCTGAGGCTTTTGGATACGAGAGGAATAGAAGTTAACAAAAATGTTCCTTTCTTCCAGAAATCTTCATATGCAGCTAATAAAAAGGAGTCCTCCAGAGTAACAGTCTTGATTCACTGTCCAGCCTTAGCTATTAAATATCTTAATATGCCATTTCCTTGCACACCAAGAGTGGTTTTTGGTCTAGGGCTCTGTGACATCTTCTTCGTGTCTACCAGAATGAGTATGAGCACTTGGCCTCATCACAGAGCATCTGCAATGGTCAAAGCGTATCACTGTCACACATTGATCAAGTGGTGAGACAACATGGGAGCCTGGCCACAGAGGAACAGCAGCTTTCCCAAATAACTTTCCCAATCTTTTAGGTGGAAAGGAGCTGAGCTGTCAAAGTCCAGCCCCAACTACCCGCCGCAGGAGTTCTGTTTTCAATAATCTTTCCCAAGAACAGAAGATTAGGTTCGGTTGTACAGCAGAGATGTCTAGCATATACATGAGTAATGTCTGTATCAGTGCAGTGCTAACTCACATTTCATGATACAATATATTTTGCATGCTTTATGGCCAAATCTTGAAATTTTTATATGATGCAAGTGATTCTTGTTCCTGAAAATAGTCCGATTGACTTCATGGGACTCTCCGGACTTCCCGTGAAAGTGAAGTTTATAGTCTCACTCATGTTTCTCCTTTATGGCCCAAAGCATCAGGCTGACCTTCAAGAAGGTTCTGTACTGTTGTGAACAAAACAGTTGCTTTTTCTCTGTTTTTCTCTCGTGGAACTTGCTTCTCTCCTAGCAGCTCTCTGAAGTAGACAAGGCAACACTTCTGGTATGCACTAAACACTTCCAGACTGCCTGGGTCAGGGACAGACACCTGTCTTATTTCACACGTTCTGCTTCCTGAAACCACTGCTTGGATTTACACCCTGGGAAATTGCTAAATTTATGGAGGGGTAATTTCCCTCCCTTTTTGGAGCCCTATTCCTGTGTTTTGTCCAGTGGATGAGAACTGAAATATTACTGTAGTGTGTTTTGATCAGCCACTGTTTCGTTGGTGACCATTTAACAAACCCACCACCGGTGAACGTCCAGACCATGCTTCAGTTCGTTCCTGTTAGTGAATTATTGCACATCACCATGCTGAAAGCCATGTACCTATCTCGATCTGACCTTGCTATGTAAGGAATTAAAATATTAAACTGAGAATTGATAATAAGATTTCTGAGGGATGCCAGCTTTCCATCTTCTCATTTCAATTACTATCTCTGTTTCTTGGCACTTTCCATGTGGCTTGGTCTTTTCAATCCATTTTTTGATTTTTTCTGGCAACGTGTCAAATGATTAGACCTTTCCTCCAAAAAAAATTCTGACCTGTCACAAAAAAAAAAAAAGAAAACTAAATGTTTCAATTCTTCAGCAGAAAAGTATTTGATGAAAATAAGGGTTTTTTTTTTCTCTGAAACACACTGTTCACAAAACTTTCCTTTATTTGAAAAATCAGTTTTCCATCAAAAATGTTTTCATCAGAGAGTTTTTCTCCCAGGCTTTTATTCAGCACGCAGTCCTGCTAACAGTTAGTGAGGTGCAACATCTGTTGACTTCAGTCAAAGTTGCACCCCAGTAATTGAAAGCAGAATTCGGTCTGTTCTTTGTAAGGTGTGTTGAATGGACAAAATCTTGCATTGACTGAAGTGTTAGTCTTAGCAGTGAAGTGATCCTCTAATTTAATCCTCCACTCTATTCACGTCTCAGATACAAAATGTTTAATAAACTGCAGTTTAATGGTAAGGTGAGTTACCCATCAGTGCATTTCTAAGCCAAAATTATTGAGTAAAGTACTCTTAATAGTAGGTTTATGTTACCATTTACATTACTGGATAAAAACTAAATTGGAGTTTTTATGTATTATGTGTTACTTACATAATAGCCTATATAAGTAGGTTTATTTTCTCAGCTTCCTCAATTTACATGTTGGATATTGCTTGATTTTACGTATTAGTGGTAAATTATGAATGTTATTTTTTTTCTTTTATATACTTCATGTATCCATGCGAACGGATTTTGCATCAGATGTGTAGTTTCCTGTGATAGGAAAAAGAACCTCACCAAATCTATAATTCTGTGGGGGCTCTGGTATAGCTTCATTTAGATCCCAGACATACTTGACATTTCAATATATCTGGACTCAAACTTGCCTTTCATATGTCTTGTACCACACATAACAAGCAATATTTTTACATTTTTTATGTTGTTTCTTCCCCACCAGATTGGGGTAACTATATATACTTAACACGTGATTGATTTTTTTTTTTTAAAGAGTGCTTTTAACGTTAATATATTATATATGCATATATTGTTTAATTATACATTTAAATTTAAATTAAACTTTTATTTGTGTGCCAATTACTTTATCCTTTTTTGTGGTTCTTGTAGTCTTAAATAGTTTGTGTTTGTTTGAATAATTTGCTGATCAATAGTTCCTACTCTGATTTTTTGGGTAATAAGAAACTTCATATTTAAAGTGTTCATCTATACTTAAATGTAAGTTTTATGAATGTATTTCCCCTGAGAAAAGTTTAACTCGGAAACAAAATTGGTAAGTTGCCTGCACTATAGTCGCAACCAGCACCTGATATAGCAAGTGTCTGCAAGTCAACAAAACCTACTGCAATACTTTTTGCAGAATAATTCATTAAAGTTTGGATAGAGTGGAAAAATAAATTTCTATCCCCGTTTTTATGAAATCAAATACTTTTGATTCCTATTTTGAAAATTTTGGCATGAATAGAAAAGTTCTCAAAGAATTGTGAATCTATTGAATATTTAAATAATTTCTGCTTAAGTGAAACTATTTTAGTTTGAAGTGACAAAGATCTTATGCCTGTTAGAAAAATTTAAATAAAAGCAAACTTGTGGTCTCATTACATGCCAAAAATATTTATGTACAATCTTTAAGAATACAAGTAGACCCAAATTAGTAGTGCTATTCAGGGGAATTAAGTTTTATAAGCATCTGAAAAATGAAGTCTTTGTGTTTTGTACTTAGATTTTTTGCCAACAGCGGTTTTGTACTAGTCCAATGAGAAACCTCACCATTAATGACATTTTAAAAGAAGCAAACAAAATATTTATTATCTAATTCATTATAAATTTTAATCGCCAGCTGTAATAGCATAGATTTTCACAGGCATTTTTAAAAGTCTTGACCTGTTTTAAATCAATGATGAAAAATATTCATATAATTCTAATGATCTTTGTTTTAAATTCTTCCTTCTCAACAACAAGTTTTTTCTGTGAGCAGTAGATTTCCAAAATCTCTATAATACAAATCTACTAGACCCAGCTAGTAGACTGTGTTACCCCAGCAATTAATTGGTCTTTTAAAATTTTGCATCAATAGGCCAACACACAAGTCTGATATGCAGAATTCATGTTGTGGTGTTAAGGACTGATAGAAAAAAATGTAGGTGGTACGATAGCGTGGAACAATTCACTGAACCGCTTAAAGCTGATTAAATTGTGTTGATCAATCATTCTAAATAATGGAGGAGGAACAAAACTGAATATTGCGAGAAACGAGGATGGGGCATGATTTTTCAGCAAGAAAAGCTTTCCTGGCTTAACATAAAAATATAATGTGTTAACAGAGTCTTAAAATCAATATACCATGAATTAGCAGGCAGCAGAGAACAGCCAGATGACAAGGGGAATATGATTCATTTCTTCGAATGACTAAGATCTCAGGCAGCTTGTTGAGCAGAATATTTGGAGACTGTGAATAGAGTTAAAAGAAAAAGAAATTCCTTTAATTTGATCTGGAAGTGTGTTTATGACAGACGTAAAGCACTTGAATTCTACTGAGGATTTCCTCTTGTGCTGCAGTCTTCCTGCCTCTGCTCTTTACAGCTGTTCTTTAAATACTGACTACTGAGCCAGACAAGCTAGTCCTCTTACACCTTAATGCATGAAAATGAAGTTTCCAGCTCTAGCCAAGTAATTAGATAACCCAACACTGACAAAATAATGCTAATGAAGTGAAGAGGAGAGGATCCCTAAATAATCAAATCCT